GTTTACAAACTGATCAGGGTTTCGTTGTTCAAAACAACCTTAGCTAAGGTCAACCTTAAACACTAAGGTTAGAGTTACGATCACCCTAAGAAAACGCTACGCCCGTTGCACAAAACAATCTTAGGGCAACCTTAACTCGGACTCCACGAGACAAACGGTAGCGAGAAATCATTCAGCGTGTCCAGTTGACTCGTCCTGTCTCTGTAGACTCTCTGCTTCCTCAAACTTCTCTCGATCTCCTTGTATGAAATAAAAGCAGGCGCCAAATTCCCTACCCAAACTTAGAGACGCTAAGGTTTGGTCGGACCAACCTTAGTTATAAACCTTAACTTAAGGTTAACCTTAGTTAAGGTTGTTTCGTACAACGGGAGGTTAACCTTAGTAAAGTTCTAAGGTTGTAATCTTAGAGATAAGGTTGTTTTGAACAACGGAGCCCAGGACCTGTATGATGGTTATCGGCACAGAAACAAGTAAATGAGTTTAGTTTTACGCCGCACTCAGCAATATTCCAGCTTTATGACGGCGGTCTGTAAATAATCGAGTCTGGACCAGACAATCATGTGATCAACAGCATGAGCATCGATCTACGCAATCGGGATACAATGACATGTGTCAACCAAGTAAGTGACCCTGACCACCCGACCCGTTAGTCGCCTCTTACGACAAGCATGGGTTACTGAAGATCAATTCTAACCCGGATCTTCACGGGTCGGCACAGAAAGGAGCAAATAGGGGGTATTAAATAGAACTCCAGGTTTCCACAAACTCATTATCTGGATTTAAGGAACATGATTTATTCCGACAACTACTCGGCACAGAAGATAGGATGAGGGTCTGTCACCCAAGTGCATCTGGATGGATGACTTTACATTCCCTTGGCTTCGGCTCTGGCCGAAGTCATCCAGAGTTTCAATCACATTTAACATTCAGTACAATGGTTTCAAAAATCCGTCCCTGCTAACAAGATGTGTTTGGGTCAGTCATTTATCCTACACACTTCACGAGTCTGATTATCCCATCTGTCAAATCATCTTTGGTAACATTCTACATCTGACGACCGATAGAACCATTACAATCACCCATAACTCATGCATTGATGTCACTCTTGCAATACTTGACAACTAATTATTACTCAACGGTATTGAAGATATTTATTACATACTTGACATGATATAGAAAACCGAATACAGACATTTTCGTATTTCGTGGCATCAAATATAACAATGTGCTGGTATCGATTGCAAGAGCACAAATGGGAGGGAGAGTTCCATTGGAGGGAGGACTCCCATGGGCGGCTAGAGCGTGTGAGCAATACCTTGTATTATTGTTGTATTATTGTATATAATATGATGGGCACGGCAGCGTCCATACAATGCTTGACGCGAGAAACGGATTCCACACGGGAAAATGTGCAACACTATCTGTTTAGACACACCGTTTTCATTTTAGTACGACAACAAATATTAACTGTTTGTGTTGAAGTCGATTTGAGTATCAAATTACTGGAGGTCATGCATGAAGATCACATGAATGTAAATTGAATTATAGCTGACATTTAGCTGATGTACCAGTATTGACTTGAAAGACGCAAGGAATTAACATATCATCGCCGTGAATAAATTCTACTTACTCAGCACATCTTCTGTGTGCTACGCAAAGCCTTACACAAAATATGAATGTTACATATTCAGCATATTATCAGTATGTCACACAAAACCTTGCGTCACTATATTCTACATATTCAGCATATTATCAGTATGTCAGACAGAACCTTGCCGTCGTTATATTCTACATATTCAGCATAATGTCTGTATGTCACACAAAACCTTGCGTCATTATATTCTACATATTCAGCATATTATCAGTATGTCAGACAGAACCTTGCCGTCGTTATATTCTACATATTCAGCATAATGTCTGTATGTCACACAAAACCTAGCGTCATTATATTCTACATATTCAGCATATTATCAGTATGTCAGACAAAACCTTGCCGTCATTATATTCAATATATTCACCATATTATCAGTATGTCACACAGGCCCTTGCCGTCATAATATTCTACATATTTATCATATTATCAGTATGTTACACAGGCCGTTGCCGTCGTTATATTCTACATATTCAGCATATTATCAGTATGTCATACAGGCCCTTGCCGTCATTATATTGTACATATTCACAATATTATCAGTACGTCAGACAGGCGCTTGTCGTCATTATATTGTACATATTCACCATATTATCAGTATGTCAGACAGACGCTTGCCGTCGTTATATTCTACATATTCAGCACAATATCTGTATGCCACACAGACCGTAGCCATAATATAGCTGTATCGACAATACACGACTTTGTCCATATGTTGCCATTATGTCATACAGATTCCTAACAATAACAGTCATATTTTGCACGTTCAGTATAATGCCTGTATTTCACAAAGAGCCATAAAGATAATATATTTCACACTCAGCGCGCTATGCACGTATGTCATACAGATACTTGTTGATAATATATTCTGCATATTCAGCATATTGCCTATGTCATATAGTTCCATGCCAACTATTTATTGTGCACATTCAGCTTAATCAGACGGGACATGACCCGATAGTATATTCTGCACATTCAGCGTTTTGCATCACACAACACGAACAGTCCTGTCTTAGCCATGAAATATCATGTTCGAAGTCCACACATTGTGAATAACATTGGTAATGTAGTGGGTAGAATATGAGACCTTGTCATTACAGTCCATCAACAATAATCCCATACAGGAAACCAACTTCATCAAACTGATAATAAAGATTTTTTTGTTGTAAATATATTGCATTTCTGTCAGGCGTTGAACGACCTACTATCCACGAGATGAAAAGGTGTGTCGATTAAACAATACGCAAAATCATATTGGTCAATGCGTCAACGAACAGCAATCCTGTCACCATCTCCTAATGAACTACTCAACACAGGATCTTGAACATAGTATTACATGATCATTTGAGGACTGATACCTTAGTCGTCACAATGCCTGCAGCTGATCTGCTTTGAGTAATATTGAGTTAAGGTATAGGCAGCATTAAACATATATTCCAGCAATGTCACAGCGGGGGACACCTGTAATAGGAATAGAACCAGGGCCTTGGTGACACGAGTGAAAGCTCTAACCACCTGGCTACCTCCAATGTTCTTTTATCGTAGAATTAGTAGTATAGGACCATCAGCCTCGATACTGTATCATACCTCAGTACCGATTGCCTCCGTTGCTAAATGGCCTCTGATAGATGACCTCCCTGTTTCACAATGAACACTCCATTAATTCCGTGCTGAGACCACTCAAGCTGCACAGAGGACTATTCACATAACAGCATTAGGCTGAAGTCTATACTTGTTGACACGGGTTCTGCAACTTATTAGACTTCATTTCACGCTTAACAAATGTCTCTCCGTATGCCAACATCACTTACGCAGTCATTCATGAATAACTGAGGATTTGCATAGCTCACAATGTCAGTTTGAATATATTTTGCAAAACACATAACACCAGGGTCTATCTTCACAAATAATGTAATACATTTATAACCATGATCAACCACTGCAGTAAGCAAGAATGTTATCAACATTAAATGGCTATCGAGAACGCACTGTTCTGTATATACGCTCCAGCTGTTGAAAAAAAATATTCCCCAATCAGTCACTGCAGACAATCATTCGCCAGCAGTAGAGGATAGTAGCGTGGGATTGTGTGAAATCAATCAAGTCGTCCTTCATTCGACACACACATTGTATAGACCATACACACTTCGCTGATAAGGAAAAGAAGGAAATAGACCGTCACTGCCGGGTTCGCTGCATGATGTGATGTAATGTTATTGCAAATCCATAGCCTCTATTCCGTGTATGCATTATCAACTCAATTACCTGGGGAGCAATGCAGGCATAACCAAGGACGTTCCATTGTATTACACAGCAGGGTGCTAGTGGATGAAGCGCATTCAGTCAGGCACACACTCCGAGTTTAAATTAGTTCATTTGTTGATTCCAAACTGAAACATGCGCGCATATACATCCCAATTCCTTAAGAAAAAGATTCCCTTGGTGGAGTAGATAGAGCGTCTGCCTGGAGAGCAAACTGTTGGCGGTTCGATACCCAAAGATTATATATGCTTGTTTCTAGTACTTTAAACGGACATTAGATAACATGGGAAACTAACAGAAAATGTTGTTCTTTATCAAACCTGTACATGAAGGTATTTATGACTTGGATATGTGTTTGCCCCACATGAATAATGCAGTGGTAGTATGGAGACAGCTGTTTGATTCTCAAAACAGGGTCCGAACGAACACCTCTTTTTGTGTCACTGACTGACTGACTGAGTTGGGTTTTGCGCCGCTTTTAGCAATATTCCAGCAACATCACGGCGGTGGACACCAGAAATGGGCTTCACACATTGTGCCCATATGGGGATTCGAACCCGGGTTTTCGGCCTGACGAACGAACGCTTTAACCATTAGGCTACCCCACCGCCCTTTTTTGTGTCACTATATCCATGTTCCTGGCTTTCTGCGTAACGGTCCCTAAAACATGTTCGCCTCTACTAAGAAGAAACACCAATATAATCTGCAGTATCAACAATCTGTATGTAGTTTGTTCAGCTTGTTTTGTTGTTTAACTTCGTACTCAGTACTATTTTAGTTGCATGGCAATTGTTGTCTGGGACAACTCAAGTTCGTTCTAGGCAATCCAGTGATTGACAACATGAGCATCGATACGACCAACCATGCTTGCGATCCTTATCCTCCGATCTCGCGAGTCGCCTCTTAAGACAAGCGTTGGTTCCTGAAGACAAGGTCGAAGCCAGATCTTCCCGGCAGTGGTTATCAGGGGATAGATCAGGATTGTTGTGCATGTATGTTATAGAACAGCACGGTCACACTATTGGGTCCGAAGTCTGTTTTAATCGTTTTGTCGGTTATTGGATGTGATTAATCAAGGCTTACTCACCTCGTCCACAGGGATGTCTGTTCGCATTTGAAAGCCCTCATCTAGGTCCTGCTGCACGAAGTACTTGCCAAACGGACCGTCCAGAGCGGTTAGGGGCTTGGACTGAGACTTTGTCAAGATCCTCACGTGCCAGGCTACATAGCGGCTGAACTTCCGGGGCACGTGGGAAATATCAGTGTAATACAGTTTAAAAGTGAGGTACTTCCCACTCGTGTCCGCCTCCAGCATCCAGGCCTGTTTGTCCCGGTCGTAGAGGTGGGCACGACTTCGATTTCTGTTTAAGGCATGGACATTGACCTCACTCACCGACACCACTGAGATCATCTCCACCTTCACACGCAAGGTGGACCTTCCCTGAGCCAGCCTTAACATGGAGGCACCAACTGTGAACGGTTCGCCCATACCAGACGTATCCAGGATTTGAACCAGTTCCCGAGAATCAAACGTCCCTTCTTCTCCCAGAATGACCCTGTACTTAAGACTACACAAGTGGTCAAAACTCGTATGTCTTTGCAGTTGAACCGCAATACTTCCATCGGCTTCGATGGAACTACTGTCAGGAAATAAGGACACGCTCCAGTCAAACAGACCGAATGAGTAGTAGGTTGACTCTAATCTGTCGCTATATCCTTGTCTAGACGCATGGTTGTCCTTCGGAATTTTCATGAAGCATTCAAACTGACAAACTGCATTTCGCATTTCCAGCTCAAACATGACATCTCCGGTCTCTTGAATAAAATTTCTTTGTACAAGTTCGTCAATCTCAATGAAAGTTTTCCTGCCGAACACATTATTCTCGGTGGTATACTCGCAGCTCTTTTCAATGAAATGTTCATTCTTGGTGAAATGGTCCCTGTTGAGTATAGTGACCGTGAAATCAAGGCGACATTTCATGCCCTGAGAAGTCGTCAGCAGCTTCAGAAACACTCCGATGTGACGGTCACTTCGAACAAAACTAACACTCCATTTTTGAAAGCCATACACAAAGTCTTTCGCGTAACAGTCTGGCGTAAATTCCCGGACGATCCTACCAGGCAAGACGAACGTGAAGACCTGAGCATTCAGCCGGTCATTAAGCTTAACAAACCTACAGAGCTTGGCCATAGTTCTTGTTATCTGTTCTTGTCACAGTGACACACAGTGTAGAATGTGATGGTCCTCATTGACACAACACCATCAGAAGCCAACTTACCAGCAATTCTGTACCTAATACACAGCCTTGAGACATAACGTCTCACAAGCTAATCCCACAGCTGGATCACCTTCATCAGCCTAACCACACACACACCCAGACACATGTCTCACCTCTGTGCAACAAGAAGCAGCTATCTCGGAATCTCAAAAAATAAATACTATCGCACCGACTAACGAGTTGTTTCCGGTGCCTTTATCTCAGCAGGGGAATATCGAACGATCCTCTCGGCTCTGTCGCGTGTCTGTAGAACGGGACATTCCAACCGCTGCCACCAAACACCACTGTGGTCGCCTCCAGATTCATGCATCAACTGCACACTGCTCCGACACCGTCCAACACTATAGGTATGTCCCGCAATGCTCTTTGCTGCAGCCGCTCCTCGACATCGATTCTCCCTCTGTCCGTATGCTCAGAGAGCCTGCATTGTTGCCGCCGTTAAAGGTGGTATGTGTTCTCGGGAAGCGAGCGCAACAGATTGCCTGTGGTGTTACATGCCTCTGAGACAGTTTCACCCTCACGCACCGAGTCCCAGTGACATTCTCCCTACTATATATTGTATGACCGATATCTGTGTTCCTCCAAGTGTGGACCTCCCTGGAGATGGACTCTACCATTGGCGATAGACCACACAGCTCGCGTCGACTATATACTCAGCAAGGAGTGGCTTGTGTCAGAAAAATGACTTAAAATGAAGCTGTTCATGAGCAGTATATGTGTCACCATACATAATATATCACTTTGTTCAGTGTCTACACATTAAGGGCGGTGGGGTAGCCTAATGGTTAAAGCGTTGGCTCGTCACGCCGAAGACCCGGGTTCGATTCCCCACATGGGTACAATGTGTGAAGCCCATTTCTGGTGTCCCCCGCCGTGATGTTGCTGGAATATTGCTAAAAGCGGCATAAAACCAAACTCAGTCAGTCAGTCAGTCTACACATTAAACGAAATATCCTGTGGGGAAAACGAAAGTATTTACCCATGTTTGATTCTACAAAAAATGAACAAGAATGGTTGTTTCATGGTGTTGTATTTGATACGGTAGCACGGGTATGTGTTGGTCCTAGCTTTTGTAATCTTCGTCGACTGTCTGCAAACTTTAACGTTTAGATAAAGTGCAAAATGTTTCAATCAAATCCAATTTTCTCTTTCTTCGTAAATGCGTTCAGCAATATGTACAGATAAGTGCCAATAACCTTAGTTATTTTGTCTGGTGTCAAATAGTATGTCAGTTTAGTCAGTTGAACCAACAATCACATAGTGTAGTTAATGCTTGCATTTCGCGATTTATGGCTGGGTAACACGATTAAAAGAAACGAACTGTCTGTCATTACAGAATTGTTTGTCATTTGTTCATGTGGTAGGGTTTTGTACAGCAAGAATCATTTCTAGTAGTATTCAATTACCTTCCGAGCCGGGGTCAAGAGTTGTAGATAAATATCAGCGTCTTCAGACTTCTACATCCTGATAATCATCTGCGATTCCTGTCAAGGATTGAGGGGTTAATGGACGGGTGGTTATTACATTGTAATTGAATCTTTATTGATCTCTTCTTCCCACGATCCTGTTTCTAGAGCGAAAGAAATTAATTACACCGCTTTATGTATTTTGGCACGATATCGTTTATCTTTACGTTGCTTCATCACTATGTGCTACTGATTCCTAACTGCACGGTTGTTACACACTCCGCATTGTGCAGTTGAATCTGCGTTTCCTATAGTTATGGAAACCGTTTTGTCGCTTTATTGCTTATTCTTTCAGGGGTAGCCTAGTGGTTAAAGCGCTGAAGAAACGAGTTCGATTCCCCACATGGGTACAATGTGGAAAGCCGTTTTCTGGTTGCTAAAAGTGCCGCAAAACCATACTCACTCGCTCACCCGCTACTCTTTTCAGAAACGATTGACTATCAACCTCCAGGAGATGGAAGCCTCTATGATATGTGTCAGAAGAGTGTATGCAGGCAGGTATTTTTCATCAAATTGTTGAAATATTTTTCAGTAATGTTCATTTGGCAATTGCTGCAATTGTTGCATTCTTCTCATTACTTGCGCAGGGATCAAAAAATGAAAATGACGTCATCCATGACGTCGTTCTACCAGTAGTGGAACTGATTTGATATCTCCATTGAAGCTCGTGGTAGAGACACGTGTACAATTTCTATAAACAAAAATGACAAGGGTATATGAATAATAAATTCACTCGTAGTTGAGGAGCATTTGTGTTTCGTGTTATGATGTTAAGATGCACGGAACTTACATTATTAATTCTACCCTTAAATCTTTGTTCATTGGGCGAGAGAGTTGGATTTCAGAACAGTACGCGACTTACATCGCGTCATACGTTGGAGTAAATCCAAGCAAGTATCATTTGGAATAGACAATGGTTCACGTATCGTTACCTAGGATTTGAAGTCACCAGAGGTGCATCCTGGACGCTGTTTGTTTGATTTAAGCAGGATCATGGTTTACATAAGCTGCTGCGAAATTGTGCTGTAATGTACCCTGTGGTGGGGTAGTGGATAGAGTGAACACAAGGTCTGTGGTTCATTTCCCGGGAAGCTTCATGCTGAAACACGTTAAATGATGTGAAGCCTGTTTGACATTAAAGGATAAGTGAGTGAGTGAGTATGGTTTTACGCCACTTTTATCAATATTCCAGCAATATCGCGGATACAATACACATTGTACCCATGTGGGGAATCGAACCCGGGCATTCGGCGTGACGAGCGAACGCTTTAACCACTAGGCTACCCCACCGTCAGTCACATTAATGGGGTAAAGCTAAGACTAAACCAGGGGGGGGATAGCAGGGTGGAGCAGAGTAAATTACACACGCACGCACGCACGCACACACGCACGCACTCACCACACATCATATACACCGGAACACACTACTCAACATATACACTCACACGTACACCCCTCACGTCGGATACACACATACACACCACATTAACTCTCACGCCTTATTCACTCACAAACACACGCCACACACAAAATTTACACTTCAAACACATACATACACAAAATATGTACGTACACACACCACGCGGTATACACACACCAACACATACACACCTTATTCACTCACAAACACACATCAGACACTATATACACTTCACAACATATACACTCACACGTACACACACAACCAGGTATACACTCACACATCAAACACCAATATATACACACATGACTCACTATATTGACTCACACTAACCACACACCATGTACAGACATTACACAACATATAAACTCACACGTACACACACAACCAGGTATACACTCACACACCAAACACCAATATATACACACATTACACAACATATAAACTCACACGTGCACACATCACTTCCTATACACTCCATGTACACACGCTACACACCATACATATACACACACACCTCCACTTCTATTTCACCCCCAAACACTTCCTCTGAACTTCATGGCCTAGATTTTCGAAGCTCTCTTAGAGCTAAGATAGTCGTAAGTTAATGTTAATGTATGTTTATAATATCTGTACAACTATACTTATACAATGAATAGGCTAGTTACGGACTTATAGAACTATTCCTCAAACATCAATTCAGTACCACTACAGCGTATGGTAATTTTCATTTACAGTTCCGAAAGTCGACTCTAATTTCATCTTGCGTGTGTTGTTCCAATCTGCATTAGATTTTCCCTTGGCAACGCTTGAACCTAATACAGAAATTCAAACTCATATTAACATCTGCTATATGAATAGTCTGCTTAACAATGCGATATAAACAACACTAGGTTGTCATAGTGATGCTTCATCAATAATTTACAACTTCCCAGTCATACTTTTTCACAGTGTTATTCACTTGGTCTACTGAACACCTTTGTACCTATTTTTGCCATCTGATTGCTGTGCCAGTTTACACAATATGTAGATACTAAGCGTCACTGTGAAAAGAATACCGAGTCGTGGCTATCATCAGAAACAGATTCATTAATATTGGGGCAGTGGGGTAGCCTAGTGGATAAAGCGTTCGCTCGTAACGCCAAAGGCCGGGGTTCGATCCCCCCTTGGGTACATGTGTGAAGCCCATTTCTGGTGTCCTCCACCATGATATTGCTGGAATACTGCTAAAATCGGCGTAAAACCATAATCACTCACTCATTAGTATTGATTGAATTAACAAAATCAGTAGAGACACCAGGTGTTCGGAATGAAATGTGTGAGGGTGTCCTGTGTTCCCGTTAGCACCAGCCTTCCACGCAACTTGCCTTAAAAAGTAAGTAATTACAACCTGATACCACACAGCAGAACACCTGACATACGACATTGTCCTGTAGCAAGCAAGACCATCGAGTGATCGATAAAACAGAAAATCCAGTTGTAAATGGGAATGACGGCTACAACAAAGTAAGTATTTACAACCTGATACCGCACAGAAGAACACCTGACATACGACAGTGTCCTGTAGCAAGCAAGACCATCGAGTGATCGATAAAACAGAAACTCCAGTTGTAAATGTGAATGACGGCTACAACAAAGTAAGTATTTACAACCTGATACCGCACAGCAGAACACCTGACATACGACAGTGTCCTGTAGCAAGCAAGACCATCGAGTGATCGATAAAACAGAAAATCCAGTTGTAAATGGGAATGACGGCTACAACAAAGTAAGTATTTACAACCTGATACCACACAGCAGAACACCTGACATACGACAGTGTCCTGTAGCAACCAAGACCATCGAGTGATCGATAAAACGGAAAATCCAGTTGTAGATGGGAATGACGGCTACAACAAAGTAAGTATTTACAACCTGATACCGCACAGCAGAACACCTGACATACGACAGTGTCCTGTAGCAACCAAGACCATCGAGTGATCGATAAAACAGAAACTCCAGTTGTAAATGTGAATGACGGCTACAACAAAGTCGTGCTGACAATATTCAGGAACACAAAATGAGCTTGTTTGGCCTTTAGTGCCATGTGTTGATGACATGAATAATTGACGACGGTTCTGGTGTTGAATATCGTGGTAACCTCAGCTGCCACATGGATGACTGGCTTTGTCCAGAAACAGGCAACAAAACACGATGCTGTTCTGTGATCACGCTTCATGAATTATACAACATATTCCCATAACAATTCAGTTGTCATGGTTGTATCTTTTATCCCAAGACAGAAGTTACGATCAGTTCATTATCCCCTCACCGCATGACATCAGCTGACTGTTAAGTCCACTAGTCGAACACGTGCCGATTCTCATGCAAAAGACGTTTATGTTAAATGAAGGCTTCAACTGTGATACAAGATCATATCTTTCTTTAACGATCTTCTGAACTCCAAAGCTGCGGACACTGTGCACTTGGCAACCTTAATGTAAAATTAACATATAGTTTGTTTTGTGTCAACAAAATCAGTAAATGCGCTATCGCGTAAGTAGATTTTAGGTCCATCACTGGATTATCTGGTTCGTTCATAGGCGCCGCCTTCGCAAGGCAACAAAGGATTTGGTGCAGATTGTGTGATTGATAGTTGCTACATGTTAGTCAGGGCAATGTTATCCTGTTTCTGTTATCAGTGATTCCCAGTGATCCAGTCACAATTATTTCCAATGTTTATTTTTTAACGCTCAGTG